CCAGGTATCTTTGCCACTTGGGAGCTCTGTCCACCAGCACAGAACACATTCCATGTCCCAAAAATCCAAGGCAAGAGTTGCTATTTGTGTGAGATTGGTTGCTGAGAGGATTCTGAGGTCGTCCTATAAATTAATGATGACAGAAGTTTTGAGGTGACTGTCCCCTGGTGGATGAGTGTGCAGAGACAGGGAAGGGCATTCTGGGCTGAGCGACTAGGAGGGTGTGCATGTGGCTCCAAGTGGGTCCCTGGAAGGAGCATTGGGGTGTCTGGCACTGAGGCTGGAATTGGGACAGGTTCTTTCTGAGCTGCAGCCGAGAGCTGTGGCAGGCGGGACAGCGTGACTGTGACTGCAGCTCAGGTCACGCAGGACGCTGGGCAGAGCCCACCTCCTGGTGTGCGTGGCCGGGGCAGAACGCAGGAGCGCAGGCAGCACTTCCCCCGAGGGCCTGTTCTGACTGTCACTGTCCTGAGGCAGCTGGGAGAGGAGAGTGGACGACCGTGGCCGGGTGTACTACGTGGACCACAACACCCGGACGACCACGTGGCAGCGGCCAACGCTGGAGTCGGTGCGGGACTTCGAGCAGTGGCAGTCGCAGCGCAGCCAGCTCCAGGGCGCCCTGCAGCAGTTCAACCAGCGCTACCTCTACCCGGTGAGCGCCCGCCGCTGTGCCCGGGGCACGTGGGGCTTGACCTTTGACAACGAGCACTGTTGCTGCTACGCTAAGCACTTTGTGCTGTTTAGAAAAAGTCTAGTTTACTAACGTAACTCATCAGCGTTTGTCCTTGTTAACGGTAGCATCATATTTGCAACTTTTTTCTAAAATACGATGTCTTTATGAATTTCCAGTCTCCTGCCTTTAATTGCAGTCATTTTGCTGGCTTTGCATAAAAGCAGTTGGCTCTGATTTGCCCCAGGCCAGCCTTGCCGCACGAGCTCCTCCCGCCCCCCCGGCTTCCGAAGCAGCGTTTTGCTCTCTCTGGGCTGCCAGAGCGATTCCTAGGATTGGGGACACTGTTGCCCAGAAACTCTCGTGCACCTGAAGGTCTGCCAGTCGACAGCTGATTATCTCGTATCAGTGCTCCTGTGCTGAGAGCCTGTTGTCTTCTCTCCCTCAGGCCTCAGTGTTAGCTGCAGAAAGTGACCCGTATGGGCCTCTGCCACCAGGCTGGGGTAAGCTAGCGTGTGGTCGGTAAAAACATCTGGATGGTGTCTCTAGAAATGGCTATTAAAAGCTATATTCACTCTGCTTTTTAGAAAAAAGAGTAGATTCGACAGACAGAGTTTACTTCGTGAACCATAACACAAAAACCACCCAGTGGGAAGATCCAAGAACTCAGGGGTACGTATGTGCCAGTCAGGCCTTCCCTACACCATCCTGCACGCCTGCAGCTAGGATCGGTGAGCCTGGCCCAGGCGGCCTCTGTCTGGGCAGAGGTCCCCTCTGACCGTTCCTGTGCCCTCAGCTTACAGAACGAGGAGCCGCTGCCCGAGGGCTGGGAGATCAGGTACACACGGGAGGGTGTGCGGTACTTCGTCGACCACAACACCAGGACGACCACTTTCAGAGACCCGCGCAATGGGAGGTCATCCGTGTGAGTGCCAGCCGGGGGGTCATGCTGGGTCCTCAGGACATAAGTTAGCCACTGACTCGGCCTCCGGTTTTACCTTTGGGTCAAGGAAACCTCCTGAGTAGTGCCCCACCGGGTACACTTGTCTTTGCTGTTCCTGTCACAGAAGGGCTTCCGTCTCCTCAGTCCCAGCATCGGGGACTCTTGCACGGGGGTTACCACCTGCAGGGAGGCGCTGTGTCCCCCTTCCAAGTGCAGCAGCGGAGGCTGAGGGAGCCTCACTGGCCTGTGCAGTCACGCAGGTCCTGGGGCTGTTTGCAGACCCAGGCACCTGCCTGCCGTCTGCCCTGGCCGCACATCACAGTGCTGCAGCCTCGGGCCAGGACTGGGCTCTGCAGGTGAAGGCATCTCCTCTGTCCTCAGTCCTGGGGCAAGGTCTCTGCTTCGCCGAGAGCAGAAGCATCAGGAAAGGCCTTTGCAAATTCCTGCCATCAGGTCTGCGCACCTGCCAGCATCTGTCTTCCCTCCCTATCCTGCAGGTGACCTGTCCTTGCTACTGTCAGAGGCCTGGCTCTCTGCTGGTGCCGGGGTCTTGTCCCTCCTTCCCACTCAGTTGCCTCCATGTTCCTCCGTCCAGATCCTGTCCCTCAGGTGCAGGGTTACCAGAGGTTTTCTTTGGAACCGTCTGTAGTGGACGTTCATGTTATATCACTCAGCCCGTGCAGAGCCCCGCCCACAGAGCAGCCCCGCCTGTGTGTGGTGTCACGGGTCCTTCTGGCCCAGCAACACACCCTCACTTCTCCCAGCTGGGGACCATCCTGTGGTCACTGTGGCCTCTGGAAGCTCCAGTGTCAGGCTGAGTGTTAAAGATCCGACTTGGCCACGTGCTAATTCTGCCTGTTCTTTTCTCTTCAGAGCTAAAGGTGGGCCACAGATCGCTTACGAACGCAGCTTCAGGTGGAAGCTTGCTCACTTCCGTTACCTGTGCCAGGTACTCTGCGCTCAGTGAGTCTTGTGCCACAGCATTTAGTCACGTCTGCACAGTGCGCCTGCTGAGCTTACATGACACTACAATGTTATATTTTTTAGTCGAACGCACTACCCAGTCACGTCAAGATCAACGTGTCCAGGCAGACACTGTTCGAGGACTCCTTCCAGCAGGTGAGGAGGTTTGTTAGAGCCACCTGCACGGCGTGTCGTGAGAGGCAGGAGGGCTTTGCGCACTGGGACCCTCAGAATGCAGCCCGAGCAGGGACGACCTGCCGAGGGCCCACATGGTCGGCATTGTAACAAACTTGGGCCATTGCCATGAGCTGGGCACTGGTCCTTAACTGCTCCCCACACTTCCCTGCACCTCAAGGTGAGCCCAGGGCTAAGTCACCACCACATTGGGGTTGCTAAGCAAAGCCCACACAGCTTCTGGGACAAGTGACGCATTTTGGCACTTACTCTGCTAAGACTTTACTGACTCAAAGTCTTAGTAACACCACCAAATTGAAATTGAGTAGACGTGGAACCCTCCGCGGTTCCTGGGTGTGACCCAAGAGACCCGTGACCTCGCTGCTGATGCCGGTTGTCCTGCTCGCTTCCCGCCAGGCCCTTTCCAGCCTTGACGGTGCTGGGTTCTTTCTGCTGACTCGGCGTTGCCGGGAGGGTGGGACTGTCACTTGCCAGAGCATAGGCTGTTTGCCAACCATGGTTGTGCAGAACCTGGAACAGCCTGCACACAGCAGGTGCTCAGCAAACACATGGTGAACTTACGGATAAGTGAGTGTAAGGTGTCTACTTGCCTGAGTCCTCCACAGAACATTTAAAGATAAAAGTCAACATCTTGACAGCTCCTTTTCTGCAGTGAGGTGGACTCTTCATCCAAGTCTTCCGTCCCTACAAGCACTTCTGTGAGGACCCCAAGGCCTGTGCGTGCAGACACACGGGGCTCACGGGGCTCACAGAGCAGTCTGCAGTCAAGGCACCTCGTCACTCGCTCTGACCAGCTGCTGCTTGGGGCAGGAACTCGCTGCAGCTCTGCCCAGGCTTGGCTTTGGTTGGAGTTAGTAGCTCGAGCCGAGTGTCAGAAGGGTCCCCTGCTCCAGGCTCTGTCTGACTTAGGTTCAGCGAGTATCTCAGGGATGAGCCTCCACATTCAGGGGCTTGGTTTGCTCTGTGCTCCGCCTGGGACAGTCGGGGTCTGTGTGATATGCAAGAGGAGCCCATGCTCGCCTGTGCCGGGGCCAGACCACGCGTGCCAGCCTGGGCTCAGGTTCCAACACGTGGGGAAGGCATTTGTTGCTTTCCAAAAGTGACGCCTAGTCACTGGTAATCTCAGTTAGCCATTAAGAGAATGAAGCTGGTTACACTTTCTTACGTGTGACGCACCGTCTCTCAGCTCGTTCTTGGCTTCAGCCAAGCTCCTTTCCCACTGAGAAGTGGTGTGAGCAGGACCCAGAGCAGGGCTCTGCTTCTCACTGAGGCACCTTTCACAGGGTTGTGGTAAAATCTGGGCAGCACCGGGGAGGGACTGTTTGCCAGCCTTAACGCTCTTGGGGTACTGTCCCCTCCGGCCCCTGGCCCACAGCAGAGGCTCCTCAGTGTGAGGGGCTGACGTGAGAGGAGGAAAGCTGAGGCTCACTGTGGGGCCTGATGTTTGGGGTTCAGGCATTGCTGCTGACCTTAGGAACGTGTGATTTGAAAATACAGATGAAATTTAAGTTGAATTGTTTTTGGAAGAGACTTGTGCTATTTGTGTTTTTAAATGTCCCTCTTTTTGTTTTTAACTAGATCATGGCATTGAAACCCTATGACCTGAGGCGGCGACTCTATGTGATCTTCCGAGGGGAAGAAGGACTGGACTATGGTGGCCTGGCCAGGTGAGCCCGACCCCCTGCCTCAGCGCGTCTCCACCGCGCAGGGGCATGTTTGTGAAAAGGTGTATTTTTAATAGCAATCAGGATTTATTTTTTTAAAAATACACAATTCTAGAGGTAACCACTCTTACTACTCTGGTGACCCTCTGTGTCCTCTGCACGTATGTAGGTTTGTGTCTACGTGAGTGTGCTGTGTACACGTCTGCTGGTTTTTTGAACAGACTTGATGGTGCAGTGCCCTCAGTGTATGTACTGTGGACATCCCTCCACGTCACCGTAGATATAGAGCCCATGCTGTCTTCATTAGTGGCCGCGTGACATTCCCTCCTATCAAGAGAATTTGTGGCCAGCATGCAAGCTCGTTCATAGTTTTCGCTGTTGTGACAGTGTGTGCTGGTGCTGTTCGTGTTAATTCCATCTGAGTCCTACTGCAAATAAAGTTTTCCACATTCTCTCAGTGTCCTGCTAACACTCAGGAAACAGTGATTGGGAAATCCTGTTAATGTTTTTCCCCTCAATTGTTTCTCCATGCCTAATTTGACAATAATTTGTTTTTTAGCAAAAAACACTTTCATTAAATTTTTCCAAAGAATTAACAGAGTCATAGAATCCCAGAAACACAGAGCCACAGAGACACAGAATGAGATGTGGGACTGGGTGCCCGCGGCTTCGGGGCTTGGATGTGGGGTATCAGCTTGGGCTGTGATGGCATATTTTCTCATTAAGGAGGTTTTTCAGAAAAGAAACACCACCCGTCCCAATAAATGTCTGTATTACGCCTGTTGTGCTGTATCTCACCGTCGGGAACGCTCAGATGTTAGAAAGGCAGGTACGTCTTAGATGAAACACTGCCTTGTTTGTAGCGTCTGACTGGTGACATCCACATCCTTGTCTGAACCCGTTTGCCTCAGCCACTTGGGTTTAGTTTTACAGTTCGGCGGCTTTCTACACGTGCCGGTCCCTCTGCACCACACTCTTCTCGTCCAGGTTCCTTGTTCTGAGTCGCGTGTTGGTTTTCGCTCATTCAGGGGTTCAGACCTCACAAGGGTGATCTGTTCCTGCAGTTTCCAGGATGTGTGTTCTGTTGCTTTTGTATACAGATGGCAGCCCAGCCAGACTCAGGCTTCCTGCGAGGGCTCTGGGCACTGCTCCTGTCCCCTGGCGTGAGCATGAGCGCGACCAGTGGGGGCCCCGCCCCGCAGGGGACGGCTCAGTCCTTGTGGTTGAAGTTTAGCGACTTTGTTGTTGTTGGTTTTATGTCGTTTTTAGGAACATACTAAGATCTTATTTTCTTCTATTACGTCCTCGAGCACTTTTTCTGTTCCGTGTTCCCTTTCCTTCAGGAACGTCAGTCATGGGTATGTGGAGTCTCCTGTCGGCTGAACGTGTCTGTCCTCTTGCCCCTGGTGTTTCTCTTTGTGCTTTTTCCGCTCGTCCTGGTTTTCTCACACCTGCCCAGGGCCCTGTTCAGTGCTGCCTGCCCTCTGCTGCTTCTGCTGCGAGACGTCCATTTCCTCTGGGCCCTGCTCGCTCACCTGCTGTCTCATGGTTTCCAGCCTCCGTGTCCTTAGTCGTTGGGCGTGTGCAGAGCGCTGTGCGGCCTGCGACCCTCCTCTCACGAGTTAGGCCCCTTCCTCCTGCTGTCTGGGCAGGTGCCACGTGACAGCCCTCTCCTGGGTGGATTCGGTTTTCTGGCTGCTTTGCTGCCGGTCCCTGCAGCAGCAGGAAACCTGTTCCTAGTCTCTGGGTCTGGGCTCCTCCTCAGCAGCTCGTTCAGTCTTCCCGGCGGCCTCACTTCACTGTCTCAGCAGGGAGTCGACTGCTCAGCTCCTGTGTTGGGACTGGATTTAGTTCCAGGAATTGGTTTCTGTCATTTCCCAGTTGATTTGGTTTGGGGACCCCCTTCTCTTCCCTTCAGGCATTTCCAAGACTGTATTTTAAAATCTTTGGAAAAACATTTGTAGACAGGCTTCCAGGCCAGGTCTAGCCTGCATAGGGGTGGCCCCCATTTTTATTTTAAATTTAAAAAAATTACTTGACAATATTACTATATTATGCTTAAGAAGCAAGATTTCTGGCTCTTTAAAAATACTAGACCCGCGTTCCCACCTTCTCATATGGTGTCACTTGGCTGAATCAGAGGCACTGTCCCGAGGGGTGGTAGACACACTATCTCCTGTGCCCACCCTGCCCGTCGGAAGACAGATTATGCCCAGAAATCATTGCCCTTTAACCTGATGTGACTTTGATCAGGGACCGGGAAGGAGTAAGGATTGTGGGTAAGGGGTGAATGGAGGCCCCTTGTCCCCCCAGTCACTGCGGGTGTCCTGCTGCTTCAGGAGACATCAACGCATTCTGTCGTATAAATCTCATTGAGTTGTGTTCCACGTGTTAGACGTCTATAAATGAGGTAGAATAGGTGGTAGTAAGTTAGGGAATGCTTGTCAAATTTAACGATTAAAAAATTTTTTAGTATGTTTTATTGATTTTTAGAGAGGAAGGGAGAGGGAGAGAAATACTGATGAGAAACATCCACGGGCTGCCTCCTGCACGCCCCCTACTGGGGATCACGCCTGGAACCCAGGCCTGTGCCGACCGGGAATCAAACTGTGAGCACCTGGATCCTAGGTCGATGTTCAGCTACTGAGCCACACCAGCTGGGCTAAAGATTTAGCCTTTTTAGTTCTCGTCCTATCTCTAACACCGGCAGTGACAGTAGACGTGTCCACGCAGCCCTGCTTGTGTCTCGGCATCACCAGCAGTGACTAGCCTGCTGTGCACTGTCCCACACGGAGAGCCTAGGTCCCAGGAGCTGTATGACCATGTGGCTTTTCTGTGGAGGCGCTTACAGTGGTAGGTGGGCAGGTCACCTGCAGGAAGGTGACCACCACTGTGAGCTTGTCCCCAGTTACCAATACAGGCCACACGTGGACGCTGACTTCACAAGCTGCTGAGGTGTGTGGTCTAAGCAGGACTTGGAGGGAAGCCGGTCTGTGCAGGGCGAGCCGGTCCTGCTGCTCCCTCCACCCCCGTGAATGTGAAGGGACACAGCTTGCGGCCTGCAGGGCCGGAGCGGGCAGGCGGGGCCACACTGGCTCTGTGGGGGGTGGGCAGCACCGCCCCCGATGCGTCTTCAGGGCCGTGTGCTGGCAGTGACCTAGCCTCGTTTTCTCTAGAGAATGGTTTTTCTTGCTCTCGCACGAAGTCCTGAACCCCATGTACTGCCTGTTCGAGTACGCGGGCAAGAGCAACTACTGCCTGCAGATCAACCCGGCCTCCACCATCAACCCCGACCACCTCTCCTACTTCTGCTTCATCGGCCGCTTCATCGCCATGGTGAGCCCGGCGCCCGGTCCGCCCTCGCTGGGGCCTGGCTTCATTCAAGAGCAAAAGGACCTGCGCAGTCCTTGGTTGGATCTGTTCGTGGCCACACGAGTGTCTCGTAGAACATTCCGGGAGGAGGGGACAGCAGGCCCAGGGCTCCCGGGTGCAGGCGGGGACTGAGGGGCAGGGCTGCCTGTGCCGCTGCTGCCAGAGCAGCGAAGGTGGGACGGTGGGAGCCCTGACCACCCAGCACGGTGGGGACAGCCGGGAGGCCCGCGCCCAGGCCCTTTGGGCTTCTGCACCCAGTTAGGTGAACTTGCTGTAGAAAGCGCACTGGGGTGGGGGCAGGGAGGCTGCTGTCACCCGGCCCCTGACTCTCGCCGGACGTGATGGAGCTGAGTGGCCCCAGCGAAACAGGTCAGGCCTCGTGACTTCTGTTACCACTGTGCGCTCAGTAGGCAAGTTATTTTGTAAGTTTTTAAGTAAACGTTTTGCTTTTCTTGGCAGGCTCTTTTCCACGGAAAGTTTATTGATACTGGTTTCTCTCTACCGTTCTACAAGCGCATGCTGAGTAAAAAACTGACGATTAAGGATTTGGAGTCCATTGATACTGAGTTTTACAACTCCCTCATCTGGATAAGGTTTGAGGATTTATCTTCCATAACTAAGGCATTTCCTGAAACCAGATGAGTCTTGTTAGTGTGTCTGTTTTATCCCCCAGGGACAACAACATTGAGGAATGTGGCCTAGAAATGTACTTTTCTGTGGACATGGAGATATTGGGGAAAGTGACCTCTCACGACCTAAAGCTGGGTGGGGCCAACATCCTGGTGACCGAGGACAACAAGGACGAATACATCGGGTGAGGGGTTGGCACCCAGCTCCCCCGCTGCTGCCCAGGGGTCCAGTCATCCCCACCCACCTTTTCATCACTCTCCCTGCTCCACCCGCACGTGTGCTCTGTGCACGCAGGTCCCCAGCACTGGGGAAGCTCCCATGTCACCTGGGTCCCAAAGTCAGAGCCGGGCCCCAGCCCCACCTGCCGGTCACAGGGCGAGGCCCAGGTGCTGAGCCCGCAGCCGCCTCCCTCTTTCCCCACAGGACAGGGAGGCGCTCTGTGGGCATGTGACGTGGACCCCGGCCCCGACTGACCAGCAGGGCTCCTCTCCTGCCCTCCCACTGCCTGGTAGCAGGTGCCCCACACCATTTTCAAACTGTCCTCAAATCCATGACCCCACAGCCCACCACGGCTTCAGTTTCTCAGTGGTGCCGCCCCACC